CTGAGATGGTTAAAGGGACCTTACTAGTATTTGCCATATGTGCCTTCCTGATCTCTCTTTTTACTAACATCTCACTTAACTACACACATCATTCCTTATGGTTCTTAAGTTTTCCAAAATCTGAATTCTTTTCTGCTTAATATGCCAATTTTTATCAACAGTCCATGTTTGTTACAAAAGCATGCTTTTTCTCTAATGGTTAGGTGCATACTTTATACATTCCCTTTAAATCAAGTTTGTTAATTCGTTATTCAAGCCTTTTTCTGAATATTATTTTTGCCTACTTGCTCTTTTAGATATAAGGAGCATTCTCTAAATGTCCCACTTGATTGTAATTGATCAGATTTCACTATACAATCCATTTTTGCTCTGCATATTTATAATGAAATTTTATGAATTTATAACTGTTTTCTCACTCCCTGATGAACTAAAATTCTTATCATTACAAATCCTTCCCCCTATACGTTTTGTCTTAAAATCTGAGCGTAATAAAGCGTGGGCATTATTTACTGTTATTACAATGTGCCTATAACTGAATCGATTTGTATTCTTTGTGCTTCGTGTATGCCATGCTTTTTGTTGCTGGGCCTTTCGTCAGTTCTGGGAAATCATCAGACATGCTTCTTTAAATATCGATCGCTTGTTCTTCAGTCTCTCTGTGCTCGTGCGAGGGGACACTGACTAGATGTGTTTTAGAACATCTTCACAGCTCACTACTCACCTGTGCCGTGTTCCCCCTTCTCCATCTCTTGCACATTCTGAATAATGTCTTCAGATCTAACTTCTGACTAACCCAATTCTTTGGAATTTTCTCATGTTATTCAACCTTTTCAATATGCTTTAAGCTTAAACAATTGTGCTTTTCAATTTAAAGATGGCTGTTTCTTTAATTTCCCTACACATTTCTAGCCTCTTGTTGCTTGCTCTGCTTAATTCTTGAAACATTCACTATCCGTGACTATTTTATTGCCGTCTCCTTTATCTGTTGGTTATCTAAATTTATTGATTTTACTTTCTACAGATTTCACAAATGCTGATTTATTCATTTCTGTGATTATAATTATTTTAAAGTTATCTTACTTCATGGAGGCCATGGAGACCAAATTAGCCTACTATCCAATGGAGAGTATTGGTTTTACTTTTGACAGGGCCAGAGAGAGAACCTTCAAGTGCCCAGCTCCCGGTGTCACCAAGTTCCAGCCCCGTTCAGCTGCCGCAATCACACAGATATTTGCCCCTAGTGAGACCTTACGTTACCACCTGTTTGCTGTTCACTTCTCCCCAGTCTCAGGTTGATGACAAGGGAAGGAGAGCTTTAGAAATTACCTTTAATTCGTGGAAATTTAGTAAGGCATTAAACAGTAGGTTTTACATATGACAGTGGTTCTGTAAGAAGATCGCCATACAGCTTACACCAGAAACAAATTAGACACTGATTTTTTTTTTAATGAGGAGTGCGGCAATTTATTAAAGAATGTACATAGTGTCTAATTAAAGGATTTATTTAAATGGACTCACAGAAGCAATTTCCTGAGTGGAATAATTCCACTATGATGTGAGCTAGGGGACAAGTGTATGCGGGGAATATAATATGCGAGCTAAGTGCACAGCAGGTAAGAATAAAGCATTAGCAAAAGAGAACTGACCCTGGTTCTCAGTCACTAAGGTTACTCAAGTTAAACCTGGTTCTTAGGAAAAGTTTTTATGGAAAGGCCTCTCCTGAGCTTTTTCACCCACCACTCTAAATCAATTCCCGGCTTTAGTTATTTTTTACTGCTACATGAGTTCACATTTGCAAAATTCACAGTTTATGTTAAAACGTTGCTGTACTGAAAGCCTTGCATATAAAAGCACTCCGAGATCAAAAATATTCCATAGTTATAAAACAAAATTAGGGAGGACGTGTCCCCGCAAGAATAGACATAAATATAACGAGACAGATGCTGCTGGGCTACAGAAGTCTTGTCCTCTTACTCTCCCTTCATGATTTGAGAAACTGCTCTGAGAGCCGATCCCGCGCAAACCTCCGCGCGCAAACCTCCGCGGGAACGTTTCCTGATCGCTCTGGGGCCTCCATTGCTGGGCAGCTTTGAGCTGAGTTTCGATTTGCTGCCTACCAAACTACCACCCCTGAAATGGTGTGTCTTCAAATATCAAATATTTCTCCAGGAACTTAAAGACAGATTAAAGATAAATGACACAGCACCTTAAAGGCTCAAGGATCATCAAAATTTCTTGAGTTCTTAAGAATAAGAAACAGGCAATTTTAATACACTAAGAATAATGCTGTTCACCTTTTAAACAAATGTAATCAAAGGCTGTGAAATTTTAAAAGGTACTAATAGTGATCATTTGCTGTCAATTCCCAGGTACAGTATTTCGAAAAGTTTCAATGCATCTAAACAGATAAGTTATATAAGGGTCAAAGATCACAAGGTAATTTACTTCGTAAATCTAAGCTTAGAACATACCTGCAGTATACGAAAATGCTCAACAAGAATTGTATTTACATAGAAACATTCACTGCGCATCTATCAACCGTACAGGTGCACGTTACCCTCAGATACTGCTGTGTTGGCTCCAATTCACAGCAACCTCGTATACAACAGACCAAACCCTGCCCTGTCCTGCACGGTCCTCCCATAACAGGTTTTTTGGAGCCCACTGTGAGAACCACTGGGTCAATCCATCTCATTGATGAGCTTCCTCTTTTTTTGCTGGCCTTCAACTTTACCAAGCACGTCTATTCTCTACGGATTGGTCCCTCCCGATAAGATGTTCAAAGGAAGCGAGATGAAGTTTCACCTCCCGCACTTCTAAGGCACATTCTGGTCATATTCCTCCACGACAGTGGTGACTCACAGCAAAAACAGCCTCTTCCCTCTGGAACTTACTTCGTTATGAAATATTTTCTAAACTCTGAAGCTATTTAGTAATATTCTGACAGAGAGTTCTATTTCTAGGGGGATGTTTTGTTTGCCTCAAAGATGCTGAAGGCTTATTTTGACAGGTTTTTAAGCAATGACCTCAGCTTTCTCAAGAAAAGTCACTTGTCCAAGGATCAGGTAGATAGATATCTTAGAATTCGTGTGTGTGTGTGTGTGTGTGTGTGTGTGTATAGCTACTTTTCTCATGTTAAAAAGGCAGGTGACTCTGAAAAAAAAAAGAAGTATCTAGTTTTTACATCGTCTAACAAGTGAACATGTACAATATGTACATGCTCACACATCGAAGCCTTTAGAGCTCAGAGAAAAGCTATGTCTGCTAGCCCCAGAGATAAATTAACATGCAGTTGCCATCAGAGGAGCCAGAAACACTCACTCCAAGTGTGAACACATATTTGATTGCAGGACTGTGTCTGTCCTGGGGCTGACCTTATAAATTAAACAGTGTAAATCTCAAGTAAGTGTTTTCTGAACATTCTGATTCACTGTGAACATTCGGATGCCCTTCAAATTAACATCTAACATTATTAGCCATCGTCGGGCATGAACTGCTTCATTACTGGTGACTTACCACACATACATACACACACTCTGACTAACACAATGTTACAGAGACTCGGGGCGTGCTTAATATATATATATGGGCAGGAAAACTGACATTCAATTTTTAAGCTAGAATACTGAAGTCCCCTGCACCCGTTACTAAATCTTTACAAAGGCACACCAACACTTCTTTCTACCAAAGAGTGGTTGTGGGTTTGAACCATGAACCTTTCAGTTAGCAGCCAAATGCTTACCCATTGTGCCATCGGGGCTCCTTGTATATTGACTGCATATAGAAAATCACTTTAACATAAGACAGCGATTTACTTTGGTTCCCAGAGTCATATTAACACGAAAGCACCAAGTCATGTGGGAGCGCTCTGTAGCCGATTTTTATAACACCAGTCTCAGGTTCAATGTGCCTTGCTCAGTCAGGTAGGCGTTTCCTAATGCACCAGATTAAGCTGCGTTGTCCTCAGATGCAACTACAGCATGGCGGCCTTCATCGTTTAGGACACGTACCACTCTCGTAAAGATCTGTTAAGTCTTTGACGTCTTCACTAACTTTAAGTTCCATGAGGGCACTGGAATGAATGTCTGTCTCATTTCTCTTGCAGATTCAATCCCTGGCAAAACGTGTGACTTTGCAGTGACTTATTTATGTAAGCAGTGATCGCCAAAATGAAATAAAGGTGTGTATCCTAAATTCAACTCTAGAAAACAGGCAGGCTTATCTGAGTAAATGGAGGTTTATTAAAAGGGATGAAAGGAGGAAGCCAACCATAAGCCACCCTAGCTCTAGTGATGAGTCTAAAATAGCTTACCGTATATACTCGAGTATAAGCTGACCTGAATATCAGCTGACGCACCTAATTTTACGACAAAAACTGCATTAAAAATATGCTAAGAACTTGGTTATACACGAGTATGTATGGTAAGTGCTTTCTTTGACTTGAAAAAGTGAATGTGCAGAAAATCCAATTAAACAACTGAAGGAATACTCACCTTCAGATTATTGTTCAGATGCGAAACAAGGATGACGTGCAGTTACTCAAAGCTAGAAGTTCCCAGCTCATTTGAAAAGAAAAACCAGACTGGTGTCCACTTGGAAGAGTGGCTAACAGTATGACATTAGAGTGGTGGCTTCGATCTCAGAGTTGTGCCGCCACCAGTTCGGGGCTGCAGAGCCACACTCCCCAGGGACAAACGCATGGCTGGTGGTGAGTCTCTGAACTCTTTAGCTACCTTGGCATGACTGCAAATTTTAAAATACACTCCACGGGGGATACACGACAGGTAGGAAACCTAACAGCAAAAGGTCTGAAATAAGTACCCAAATAATAGTCGGTGGTGATCAATCACACATCTACAGATAACCTGAAATTTCAGGATCTTTAATGTGATTTTGTTACGCCCCTTCCTCGGGTCATAATTATTTGATCACATTTCTGGCATCCTTCTCCTTCCACGTCATCGTCTTGATTCGCACCCCCGTCCCCTAGGATGGCTTACCTGTAGTGTCGGGAAATCTCGTCTTCCACCTGGGTAATAAAATCACATTTGGTACACGTGTGTTCTTTGCTTTCCTTGACAGCCTGCTGCCCATCCGATCCCGGCAGAGGGTTCGCCTCTTGTTTGACGTCCGATGCGTGTGACTCGTGCACGCTCTCGTAATGCAGGAGGAGCACGTCGACGTCCGGCGTGGAGAACGGGCACTGGTGGCACTGGTGTTTCACTCTCGAGCTGCCAGTTGCTCCGGGAGACAGGTGCAAAAGCAAGAGCGCACAGTGGGAACAATTACTTTTTCGACAAGCAAACGGGTACGTAATCTCTCCAAGGTGCTTTTCGGGGCTGCACAGGCCTCGGGGACAGAAGGGGCAGTGCTTAATGGTGCACTTGTGAATGTTGTGGAGCTGCTGATAGTGGCGGAGCAGTGGCCCCACCACAATCACATCGGGGCCATGGCTTTTAGAATATCGAAAGTCACAGAACTGACAATTGTAGCTTGTTACCATGTTATCCTCGGCTCCCTTGCTCGAGAAGTCCTTCTTTTTAGTGCCACTCGAGCCCTTGTCTGCCTTGGGTACCGACTCCCCGTCTGCACTTTTGGCTAGATCATTCTGATTGATGACAGAGCCCCTGGAAAGCTTATCGCTCAATTCTGGATGCAGGATGCCTGACTGCGCTCCTCCGTGCTGTTTGCCGTAATGTTCCAGTAGTTTCACAGAGCTCGATGACTCGCAGCTGAAACTACAAAATTTACACCAGTAGTAACTGGTGGCATCTGTACCATTTTGTCTCGAGGAATCGAGGGGCTTGATGGGCACTGAGTAGCCAACGGGAGTGTCATCCCCGGCCTTGACCGTGATCTTGTCCGGCCACTTCCCCAAGTCTCCAGAATCACCGGATCGGAGCGCAGGGAGGGCTTTGTTAGAGTTTTTCTCCGTAGGTTTCCCACCCTCGGAAGAGGGGAGGGAAGCCTTGATTTTGTTCGGGTGAGTCTGCAGGAAGTGCTGCTCTAGTTCGGTGGATGAGTTGCCCATGTATGTGAAATTGCAGAATTTGCAACGGAAGTACTTGGTGTTTCCTTGGCAATCCGGTGTTTTCCGTCCAATGCCAATGAATGTTCCACCTGAAGTGACCTAGTGCAGAAGAGATGCATGTTACTTTCAGTGTCATTCATTCAGTGACTTCGGAAGGGGGGATGGGGTGGGGGGTGGGCTGTGTGATAGTTCCACGTAGTCCACATCAAAAAATCACAATAGCACCTATTTTGAAATCAGTTGAGCAATCAGCGCCAAATAAACTCACTCCTCATTTCTCCAGTTACCTTGGAGAGAGAGACACATTACGTTACACATTGTAGGCCAAAATAACGTAAACATTTCAAGATATTTAATGACATCTACTTTATCAAAGGAGAAAACTAGTTTCAACTGAGTAGGTTTGACTATTTCTTCCCTTGGCTCTCATTCTGGTGGACGCAGCCAACACACATGGGCTTTCTGTTCAGCAAGCTTGAGGGCTGGCTCTCAAACCCTGAGTCCAGTGCTCACAGACCTCCGTGCAGACACTCTCCAAGGAACCTGGTGTTCAGTTCGGAGAGCAACGAGCCTGCAGGCAAATATGAGTTGTTGGATCTTCTGGGTAAAAATAAAGGTGCTGAGATGACCACATAGAACGTGTGGCCACTGAAGCCCTAGCAATCACAAGTAAACTCAAAGGAAAAATGGAATAGAACGGGAAGGAAAACTTGATGAAAGGGAGCCAGTCTGGCCAGGTTAATATGTCTGCCAGTCTCGGAGAAACAAAAGGAAGAAAACATCCCAGGTCTTATGTGACTCTGGCTCTTTCTCATGACAAAGGGCCCAAGTCCTCCGTTAATGGGGGTGATGGGGATGTCCAAAGGACAAAATGAAAGTAACACTGTGAAAGTCACCACAGCCTCGCTACTCTGAAATCACGAAGTAGTGGAGTGTTACGGATTAAAATGTGTCCTTCTCCCAGCCCCAAATATGGCTTGTAAATCCTAACCCCCATACTTATGGATGCAACCACATCTGGAAATAAGGTTTAGGTTGTTAACTGAGTGAGACCTTAACAGCTATGTTAAGTTTAAACCAATCACCTCTGAGACACTGACGAGCAGTTAGGTACAGAGAAACAGATGGAAACTCAAATGGAGGGGCAGATACGTACACAAGCAGATCAGAAGGCCCTTGCCCATAGCTGAAAGAGAAAGATAAGCTTACCCTAGAGTATCTCAAACTCCAAACTCACTGCCATCGAGTCAATGCTGACTCAACGTGACCCCTGTGGGTTTCCAAAACTCTTTATGGGAGTAGAAAGCTCAGTCTTCTTCCCTTGGAGCTGCTGGTGGTTTTGAACTGCCAACCATGAGGATCTCAGCACAACGTGTAACCACTACACCACTGAGGCTCCTTGCCTTAGAGTAGGCTCCCTGAATTTCAACTTCGAGTCTTCTAAACTGGGAGAGAATACATTTCTGTGTAGGAGATCGCGCACTTGGATTGCTATTAAGAGGGCACTAAGAAGCTAAAACATAGGGTTGTGAAGACCTTTAAAAGGTCCTTTATATAATATCCCAACTCCAGCAGGCACCTCAGTGGGCTGTACAGATAAGCTGCCACAATGCATGACTTAAAGTAGGGATCTTAGCTGAAACGTTCCCAAGAGGGAGCAACTATCAGAGATTTTTTTTTTTAACTTTCCCAGCAACCAGATGTAATACATTAAGCAAGTGGCATAATCATGTTCTGCCTTCTTCAACAGCTGCTCAAAAATGACACGTGTGATCACTGCTCATATCCTAATCACTTCATGAGAAAAGTCTCAGGCATCGCAAAAACCATTCTAAAGGCCCTACTTGAAATGCAAATAATATTCCTTTAATGCACTGAGAAATGTGTTTGCACTTCTATTGTAGAAGATGGAGATTGAAGTATTCCTTCTGCCACTTAAAGAGAGGTGTGACCGTAATCAAGTTACTTAACCTCTCTGGTCAACAGCTTCCTCAATTTGGAAAACCTCTAAATTTATTTCCAGTACTATAGTTCCAGGAAATATGCATTAACACATAAAGAACTCAGCGTTTACTGTACATTAAGATGATAATTTATGAAGGTCTCCAGCAACCTTTAATTGAAGGATGAGAGGGTTTCACTTAAGACATGTCTTCATCCACCACACCGAGCACACAGCTTGCAGACTGATGAGAGCTGAGCATCACCTGACCAGACGTGAAAAATGGGATGCCTTCCCAGGTATCAACCTTGGTCATCAATCCCTTGAGCGAGAGATGTCACCGCCACACCACTCAAGGACAGTTTAATTGCCATTCTACCTTAACACTTAAGTGACCACAGCAACTAAAACCTGCATTGGCATGTCATGAATAGCACTGCGCCACTGCTACATCTACTTCCTAATTGGCTAGAAGCGAGAAGAAAACTTAACTGCCATGAAGTAAACGTTGCAGTGAGACGCCACCAACTCAGAAACCTATCTTGCCTCAAGGACGGCAGATTCAGAATCATCACATTCTCCTCCACTGGGCAAAGCCAGCAACTGTGCACAATCCAGAGACATAAATTTGCTCTGTCTTAGCTACCGCATGGTCTCAGGTTGCCAAGCTTCCAAAATAAAATATGTTTTGAACTTCTGCTTGTAGACCGGGGATTCCTGAGCAACCATGACACATCACCACGATGTCTCTGCTTTTGCAATCATCGGGCCTCGTGTTCTCTGTCCACACCAAAAAAAATCAAAGAAGGAGCGTGAATATTTCTAAGAAATCCCTCTACATAAAATTTTGAAATGCATTTAAATTATTGCTAAGCATCACGCCACCGCCTCCAGTGTCTGAAAACAACTCCAAGCGTCTGAGAACCCAGATGAACAATGTCCACAACTAGCAAGGCCCTGGCACAAAAAAGAGCCAGCAACCATTGTGCTTAGGAATTGATTCGTTTAACGACCACAGGAACTTGCATGGGGCCCTCATTGCTGGTGGCTGCCATGTGTCTCGGTTTTGATTTTGACCCGCGGAGAAACATCCAGAGCCATTTTTATCCTTTCTATGATGCTTGATGTGCACTTCAGTGAGAAACGCACAACCGATGTGGATCATTTTAAGCCATGGTCAAATAAAACATACGGTAATTGTTTCAGGGAAAGTACATCTGACTATGAACCACGTATCTTCTATTTTCATGACGCAGATATTCACTTAAAATGATCCTTTCCTAGGTGAAATGTGTATGCACCCCAAACATACAGACACACCGAGCGAGAAGAGTTAGGCACAATAAGTGCTTGCAGCAGCATTTTATGGAAATGAATTGCCAGGAGATAGTGCCTACGCATTCAGAGAATGAGTTCTCAATTTTGAAATGGGTGAATGTGCCTAGAAGCAGGAAAAGAAAAGGTTCATTTCCTAGTGGTAACGCAAGAGAGATCGCAAGTAGTATACAGAATGCAGCTTTCAGTCCTTCTTTTGGTTAACCAGACTTTAATGACAGCGCATTGAGCCAGCAGTTCCTCTGATATGGGCATCCACACTCTACGATGTATATTAAACCACAAATTCTGCTTGGGCCCCACATGACATCTATTCCTTCCTGTAATTAGCAACTACTGAGGAGTTAGCTCGTACCAGGCCCTGTACGACAGACATCAAGCCCTGTTCACAGACACACCTGTGAACAAACTAAACGACATCTCTGCCTTCAAGACACTTACACTTTAATATCCAAAATTGCACATACAAATCTTTTCTTTTTCCATCTGTATGTATCTTCGCTTCCATCATTTACTTCCAAGGGAAGTTCCAAAGCTAAATTCCATGGGAAATGCACGTCACTGCACTTGGCGACTCTGCTTTCTTAACTAAATGAATGTAAGTAATCTCCCCACTTCCGAGGATGATTGGGCGGATGGAGGGAAGGCAGGGATCTGGGACTCCCTCGGAACGCTCTCACGCTGTCTTCTCCAGTAACCACGGTGATGAAATAGAGTAGTGTCATTGAAGAGCTGATTCTCTTACTTCATTTCCTTTTGTGTAGGTGATTTGTAAAATGGATTTCTTGTAATAAGTAGCCACGCGCAGCTGGTGCTACCATAGTGGACGTGAGCACCCTCTGCAGTATGATTTACAAGGGTGGGATGGTTATTTAATAAAGTAGTAAACCTGGAATTCCACCCGACAATGGGATGAACAGACTAAATAAAGGGAAAGTGGCAAAGTCGCTAAGTGACATAAACTCATAAACTTGTCACTCCCAGTAGAGCAGCGGTTCTCAACCTGTGGGTCGCAACCCCTCTGGGGTTGAAGGACCCTTTCACAGGGACCGCCTGATTCCTAACAGCAGCAAAATGACAGTTATGGTTGGGGGCGGTCACCACAACTTTAGGAACTGTATTAAAGGTTGGCGGCATTAGGAAGGTTGAGCACCACTGCATTAGAGTTTGCTATAAATCAAAGGGTTCTACTGCTACTGAGTTAATGCTTCATTTTATACCTCTCTTTGACTGAAGAAGTAAGTCATCTTTAGAAGTAAGCAGAGGAGCCCTGGGGGCCCAGTGGTCACACGTTGGCTGTGATCCACAAGGTCGGCAGTTTGAAACCACCAGCTACTCCTCAGGAGAAAGATGAGGCTCTGTATTTCCATGGCCTCATTACAAAGGCTCTAGCTGACATAGATGGCCTTCTTCCCCACGAAAAAAGCACCAAGTGTGTCCTTCTTCCCAAAGCCAATGGCAATGCAGCTCTTTGCTTGTGAATCAGAGTTAAATAGAAAAAAAAGAACGAACACAGCCACTGCAGCAGAATAAAAGAGCGTTTTACGCTGGTTTTCATCGATGGAGAACTATGATCTGAATACCAGTCTTTCAAACTGTTCCTGATATGTGTTATTGTTCATGGCTTTCATTCCTAATGTATGTACATGTGATTTTGCAAAATCACTTGAATGAACAAGTTAAACATTGAAAAAAGGATCCTTTTCAAGTTCTTTAACCTCAAAATTATTCTTTGCCTCCTACAGAGCACAAAGCTACTGACAATAAAATCTAAAAGAACGGGTCAGAGGAGAACATTTTGTAAAAAAAAAAAATGTAAACC